TATGGGGCACTGTGGTGGTGTCATGCATAGAGGAAAGGGGCAAAAAACTAAGGAATTTGGCTGAGAAAGAGGTTGTCAATTTACTGTGATAGATAGGTTCCTTGCTTTACATGAGAAGTCTACGTGAAGAAATAGAATTATATATTTGGTTGGACATTGGCTCTCTTAATATTTATTAATTATTATTTCATTTTATCCCATGATATTAAACCTATCCTGAATAATCGAGTTGAATTGATATTTAATTAACTTAATAAATAAATTTATTATCAAGTCGATCAAAACTTAATTTAATATTCTTTAAAATAATATTATTTTAATTTTTTTAAATATTATTTTAGATTAATCATCTCGTCCATAATTCAACTTGTAGTTAGATTAATTTTGAGTTAGGTTTACTAATTATTATTTTATTAGTTTCTTTCTTTTTTATGTTTTTCAATATTAAGGAGTTTATACATTAGCTTTGTTCACACTCTAGGTTGACATTGGAGCTGAAATCTCTCTCTCTCTCTCTCTATGAGGTGGTGAAATAGCTCTCACGCATCAGATTGCTCCATCTCCACTCAACCCTAACTAGCCATGATTAATATTTGATTTCTTTCTCACTCTCTCTCTTTTTTTAAAATTTTTTTTGAATATTTAAAACTTATTTCAAGAAGAAAAACATGCCTTTAGACGGAGTAAAAAGGACCCTGAAACTACATTTATTGTCCTACAAGTTTTCATAAGCATCCCATTTACATAAGCACACCACCAAACTTAAGATCCAAGCAACCCTAAAATTTTCCTTCTTTGCAACATACTACTACTACTGCATTTTTGGAAATTACACCATATTTTGATTTTTTAGGTATACCTTTCTCTCTCTCTCTCTCTCTCTCCTGAGAAAGGACAAAGAGGTGGTAGGGGGGAGGGTAGAGGAGAGGAGGGGAGAGTGTGCATGTTGTCTCATGCAAAAGTGGAGGAGAATTTAATTCCTTCCCTACCCTAAAGATCAAGAGCTATCTATGTCTTGAAGAAAGACAATACATGCTTTAGAAGGAGACAAATTGCTTTTCCTTCTTTTCTTTTAAGCCCTTCGTGTCTCTCTTCCACACACACACACGCATCATACATAATCTTTGTCTATTTTGGAGTAGCAGTTGTCGAGGGGGAGAGAAAGAAAGAAAGGTGTGGAATATATGGGCATAAGAGGAAACCAAAGGAAATGACTTGGTGCAATGACTGCAACGATGTGCAAACAATTGAAAGAAGCTCACCTCCACCCTGTAATGCAAGTGTTATTGTTCAAAGACACAAAGAATGCTTGATTCGAAGTTGCCCTTCATGTGGGCACCAAATCAAATGCCAAGACCAGGTTTTTTGTTTTTAAATAATTTCTTTACATGTAGTTTTGTGTAATACTTAGTTGGTGATATATATATTGTTTGCAGGCAAGAATCCCTGACTTGCCAGGGCTACCGGCCGGAGTGAAGTTTGATCCGACTGATCAAGAGCTGCTTGAGCATTTGGAGGGGAAGGTGAAGTCTGATATCCGCAAGGTTCACCCTCTAATTGATGAGTTCATCCCTACAATCGATGGAGAGAATGGGATTTGCTATACACACCCAGAAAAATTACCAGGTTAACATTCCTTCAGGAATACAACATTTTTTAGCTAGCTCGATCGTTCATGATGAGATCCAACTTAATTGACATGCTATCTTAAGTGCTTGCGCGCATGAAACATGAGAGATAAGGTCAATTATCATTAGGTCCTCTGTTGTTTAAAAGCCTATCCCGTCAGGCTAGCTAGAGGAGGAAAATCATGATATAAATCCAACTACACAACAATACTCTATCACTGAAAAATCTTGAATCATAGTAGACTGGTTAACCTGTTCTTCTCTTTTGAGGCACCCATCAAAACTAAACGTTAGTGCTGTATAGATTTATTTTCCGTGAGATCCTATAAGAAACCCACCACCTAACCCTTGTACGTATATTTGTTAGCATTTGGCATTAGACATGAAGAAACCACCCAACCAACCCTAGAAATACAAGCTATATATAATTCCTAGAAGGATATTAGCTTCCCAATAATGGAACGTCATAGCTTGATTAGGTGCAACCAATTACATTTTCCTCACGCATGCATGTTAATTATATTGATGATATTGGTCTTTTGTCACCGTGCAGGTGTGAGCAAAGATGGGCTAATTCGCCACTTCTTCCATCGGCCATCAAAGGCATACACGACTGGAACAAGAAAGAGAAGAAAGGTCCACACGGACACAGAAGGTGGTGAGACGAGATGGCACAAAACAGGCAAGACTAGACCGGTTCTTGTTGGTGGAAAAGTGAAAGGGTACAAGAAGATACTGGTGCTTTATACCAACTATGGGAAGCAAAGGAAGCCGGAGAAAACAAATTGGGTGATGCATCAATACCATCTTGGAAACAATGAAGAAGAGAAAGATGGAGAGCTTGTTGTTTCAAAAGTTTTCTACCAAACACAACCTAGACAATGTGGTTCTCTCATCAAGGATTCTGTTTATGTTCCTTCAAAATTAAAGGTACAATGTAGTGGGCATGAGGGCTCTAACCTTAAGAATAGTACCACACTTGAGTACTATCACCCTTCTTCTTTTATATCCTTTGACCAAAGTGGACAGAATAGATCAACAAACCCTAACCCTCCTCAACAGCTACTCTCCCATTTTGCAGTTCATGATGGATCTTCTTTTATCCCCTGAAAAATAAAGCAATGGGAGTCTATGGCTGCATGATATGGTGGCCTATGTAGCAAAATATATAGACCTTCCAAGCTCCAATCTCTGAGCACTGGTGAAATAAATTAATATCTATATGTATATATATATGAACTTAGGAGAGGCCAAAAGGCAGAATACATTGAGAAGAATAACTATCTTTGGCAAAGAACTAGGAGCCAGATTCTTGAGGGTTAGAGAATTGAAGAATATTTCGGCAATATTAATTCCTTTCTTCTTCCTTTTCACTTTCTTTATTAATTCATGCTTTGTACACTGTGACAAAGATGTAAATTTCACATGGGTTCTAACCCTTTTTAATTTCTATGAGAGAATGTTAACTTTGGACCTGTACAAAGATGATGATATATTCTGACAGGATTTGTTTCGTACTTTGTCCTGTAAAACCTCTGTAATGATTACTCCTCATCTAAGAATGTAGCTCTCTTTCTCTCCCATGTTGCCTCGTGAAGTATTTGTTAACTATGCCTTCACAAATTTTGAGCAAACTGTAAAATCTGGAGCTAGTCTGATCATGTTAGCACATTGAACACAGCTTGCTCAATTTTAATACAGAACTCATGGTCCCTTTCGTTTTTCGATATTTACAAACAGTGAGGTATTCATGGATCCTTTTGATATAACATGGGATTCGCGATCACATGGTCCTTTGATTGACAAGAATTAATCCATCTTTTTTCGGGAAAATACTTCATGTTTGATGGGCCATAGAAATCATTTTACACAAACCATCCGAGGTGACTTGAATCCAAAGCCTCCCTAGATTTCTAAGTCCTTACCAGTTACCACTAATGTGTGAGCATTTTGACGTAGAAAAAAAAAATCATGTTACTGTTTCCCATTTCCATGGCCATAGCATCCTTAAGCAAGCTAGTTTCGTGCATCAAAGCCTGGCCTAGTTTATGCATAACATGTCACCATCGTTTTTTAGCAAAGAGAGTTATGGAAAAACTTCACCTAATCGTTCTCTGTAGCAATCAAGTGACCTAAGTTGATAAATTTGATGAACTTGCCTGGCTCTCGAAGGGATCGAAGTTCCAATTTCATTGCACTAGCAATGGGAGCTTTAGGTAAGACAAGCCGACAACTGTGTGGCTAATTACAGTATTAACAGACAACATGTCAAAGGACTTCACTAGTCCAACTTCAAGCGGAATTAATAAGCCTTTCTAACTTCCTCTATACAGATAAGAACCATTCTTTTAGTCAAAACCCAAAAAAAAAAATGTTACTTCTTCAGGACAAGTCTTTTGTATAGAGTATAGACATCTTTCTTCTTGGAGCTCTTCAGCGCAAGCAAATCTCCACCAAAACCAAGTTCAGTGAGCTCCTGCTGCATCTTCAGAACGGTTAACCTAACATAGGACCTTGAACCAGCCTTTCGATCTTCACTGTCTTCATTAGCCTTGACATTAGAATTCTCACCTTCTGTTGTCGTGCATTTTTGCAGGGTCAATTTTGGTTTTTTTGATTCCCTTGCTATTTCTTCATCAATATCCATATCCTGGACAGAATCCTGACCCGCACTCAGAACTTTCAGCCTTGAACGTTTACCCCAAGCAATGGTTTTCATCTCAGAACCCAATGCAGTTTCATTTGAATGGTCAGGAGATAACTCCACTTGTGGTGAAACTAGTTTTCCCTGCTGCAGTTCCGCATGTAAAGAAGGCCCATTTGCCATTATATTTTCCCCTAGCATTGAGCTTAATCTTTGTTCGCATTTCATTTTCGATGCCTCTAACTCTTGATCTCTCTCTTTAACCATAGCTTCTAGTAAAGCGACCCTAGATATAGCTTTGACTTCTGATATACGCAACCTGTCAACTTTACTGGTAAGATCCACCTTTTGTCTCTCCAAGTCTTCAATCTGCTTTTGTGCAGTTTCCATCTGGGCAAGTCTTTCTATTGCAAGCTGAGAAGCATCCCACTTAGAATTCTGAACAGCCAGTACATCTGATTGTGCTGTTTCAACAGACTTATTTGCCACCTTAACTTCCTCTGCTGTGACTTTACACCTTTCATTAGCTTCCTCAAACCTTTTTGACTCAGTGAGGTACTTCTGCTCCATTTGGGTTCCGTCCTGTACCAGTATCTGAGCTTGCATCTCCAATGCATGAGCAACAGTTTTGACAGACTCGTACTTATCAGTCAAGTTCTTGAGTTGAAGCTTCAGAGCTGATAATTGCACCTCATATTTGTCCATCTTTTCTTGAGCACTCTATGAAGCATCCAAAATACATGTGAAAAGATTAAAAAAATATATACTGTTTTCTCCAAGCTTCTTGAATTTGAAGGCTACTATATGACAGCGATCAGCAAATGATTAAGGTATATGACAGCAATCAGCAAATGATTAAGGTTTTAGAGCAGACCTTCAAGTCCAAATTCAAAGCGGTTATTTTCTGCCCAGCCTCCTCAAGCTTTGCTATCTTGACCTTAATTTCCTTGTCCTGCTGTTTTAAAACTCAAGGAAAGTTGTAAAGGTTTGTAAATAATGTATCAGCAAAATAAGCAAAAGCATTGTTGGAAAAGTAATCCCTAAAAAAATTTCAAATATCTAAAATATCCTCTTGTCTTTTCTGTTGAATTCAAGTTTTACAGTTACAATCCTCTAAATTCTAAGGCCAAGCCCAAGTATTATCCTATCTTTAGGACAAGTGTCTGTCGTTCTCTGGCTTCTTCTCTCTTTCATCTTCTGTAGTTTTACAGGACATTAGTTGTGTGTATTTAAAAGCAGATGGTCTATGTTATGTAGTGTGAAAATTATAATATAGCTCACATGCAATGCAAATTCATAAACAGCTACTAAATATGAAATAAATGCTAGCAGATACACACAGATAGACTACTATTTCTACAACCAATATGGCTTTTTTTATCAGCTTAAGAGGATGCTGTATTCCCAAACCAATCAAGATGTGGATGCAGCGTTTCCTCTTGTCTATATGGATGGATTTAATATGGATACACTTGTATATATCGTACTAATACAAAAACATATATATTTGTGAGTGGAGAGAGGGAGAGCATCACCTTTTCTGCCAAGCTATCGCATAACTCAGCACTCAGAGCTTCTTCTCTGTAGTTTAAATCCTCAATTGGATATTCCAACGGTACATTTTCCTTCTCTATTTTAGCCTTGGATTCATTAACTGCAATAACATACTTCTCTTTCCATTCATCGGCCTTTTTCCATGCTAACTGAGTTTGTCCATGAGAAGCAGCAAGTCTTGCTTCTGCTTCATGAGCCCCTGACATGGTTCCCACCTTAACTTGGTCTTTAACTGCCTTCTTATTCCATGTCTCTTCATATTTTCTCCTCCATTCCAAGGATTCCTGCTTTGCAGAATCCAGCATTTCAAGTGAACTAGAATACCTCTCCTCCAATGAGCTGCATTTCCTCTCCAGATCAGTTATACGGCCCTTGTAACATTCAGAGACCTTATTCAAGTCATTTATAGCATCTTCATAACTCTTTCGATATTCTGTTTTGAATTTCTCACTTGCTTCCAACTTCTTATGAAGCATTTGCATCTTATCTTCCATTGAGCAGCATTTCAAGATAAGGACATTTTTGTCTGATGAAGCTTCATCAATCAGCTTCTTAGCATGATGGAGAATAGGACCCTGCAAACTGAATAACAACTCCAGACATAAGCTGGGACACATGAAAATGTTCTGTAAGAGGTTTCATAGTTTAGAAAAAAGGTTGGCATATGCCAGAGCCTTTGGATAACTAGATAGCTTATAAATATGGAAGACAAAATCCTCAAGCCTAAAGATTTGCAGCTAGATCAATTACATCAGCTTATATATTGAAGGAGTGGGTGCAAATTGCATTTCAAATAGAGAGGAGTTCACCATGTCCCAAACATCTCATGCAAGGGTGATGATATTCGACCATCCTTTTTTATCCCTTCCTTCAAAGGATTATGGAAACCATTATTTGTTGAGCCTGGATAAGACCTCAGGTCACAACACTACATTCAATTCACAGGGGTATTTGCAAGGTAATCATCCCGTACAGGGAATTTTACTCACAAGAGTAAATGGGCAAGATTATAAGCATTGGTGTACTACTTGCTGAAAAGTGAAAATCAACATAAACAAACCTCTGTTGTAAGAAGGATGACAACTTCTGCCATTTTGCCGGACCATGAACTGATGCTTCATACTCAGATAGAAGACTGTCAAGAACCTAAGCAATATAATCTCTGGTTATTATTCATATATATAATTCATATAAATCTACTCACTGCCACCTATAACGTATTTAGATTAAGAATTTGCATAGTCAAAACAAACAACTTCACAAACAGAAAATAAGGGAAATTCATAGACTGATAAAAGAAATGCGTTGCAGTGCTTTTGAAGTACAAAGAATCATTATCCCTTATTATGCAATTGCCAGTAATAGAAGGAATCTTGTGCTGCACAAATGAAAACACTGGTTCCAGAAAAGGATTTCTTTCTGCCCATCTTCCTTTGTTTATTTTCTATAGTTTGTCAGGAAGGTGAAAAGCACCTGAATCATGTATCTAACCCCTGTCTGTCAGTTAAAAATGGAATTTTATGTCATGGGCAAAGCACACGAAATGCTTAAAAGTTACACTAATCATGATAACACAAAACACAGAAGAAACCCTTAAGATATTTCCAATGCCTTGGGGACTTGTAGAAATTGAAGAACTTTAGTTAAGTGAACAGAATGCAGGAATTATATGAGAACTTCAAAATAAATAAATGCAGAAGACTGCTAATTCACATACTATGACAACTCTTTCAATTTTTGCATCATCAACTTGACAAGCTGCTTTCAGCTTCCGTTCCATGTTTTGTATAGCATTTAAACATTGTATATCTGCCTCTATAAATGCATTTCTTTTATAATCCTGCATCAATAGCACCACAATCAGATTTCATCTGTCTTATAACCACAAGGATAGGCAGTGCCATAACAATTGCAAACTAAGATTCTGCACTTTTAGTGGAGCAGCTATGCACTTGAAAGTAAGTTATTTTCATCCCATTGAGCCATTTAGGGTACAAACTAGAGAGCAGCATCATAAACTTCCCATACTCAAAGAAGACCGGAGGCATATAGATCTGACATGAGTGTTATCAACAAGTTATACCTAACTGACTGCTCTTGTTAAACAAAAGGCACAAGGCAATATTATTTCCCCTGGATGGATCCTTCCGGAAGTAAAGATGTTTGATAAAAATTAACTATTTAGGATTCTATTATTAGCTTTTCAATCCTAGTACAGCAAAAATTTTAATAAACATTTTGTTTAGGTTTTTCTTTTTTTATGCCTAGTTTGCATGTCCTTTTCTCATTTGAATTTAGTGACATTGAAAACATTCTCTTGGTTCTTGTGCGATTAGGCTTTTAGATGTCTGGAAAACCTTTGTAACTACAATAGGATGGGGACCATTGCTTGGTCCAGTGCTAAAAGTTTTGGATTTGGGTAAGGTTGCAAGGACAGGCATGAGAGAGTTCTATGCATTTCTCATTGATTTTTAAGGAAGTTCAATACACACCTCAAATGCCTTTTTACAGAAATTCTGAAGAAGCACTTCATATTTTTGTCTAGCAGAGCCAACTCCGACAGCACTAGCATTATACACAGAAATTGACTTCTGAACTGCTTCATCATGCACTTCTCGTAGGGAAACCTAAAGTTAATGAATTACAAAGAAATCATAACAACAATAAATAAGCGATAATAAAATCAAAACTTTTTTCCTTACTTCATCAGCAGGCTTTGTGCGATCAAAAGCAGACATATAAACTTCAATGGCTGTATCGAATGCCTTTTGGCATTCTGATTCTTCTACATTCTGAAAAGGAATTTAAAATATTAATAACATCTGCACCAAGAAGACCTTTCTTCCAATTTTCAAGCTATTCACTCATCGAGTGTATATTGAGTTGAGCTGGTCCTCCCATTTCGTGGCAAAAATTAGTTAGTAGAATCTTAACCTAGGTATATGTTTTAAAAGTCAAGTTAGCATAGAACTGATAAACCATGTTTAGAAAAATACCATCCTTGATAGTTGCAAAATGACACTTTGTTAAGTATTCTGCATCTGGTATAAAGTCATCTAGTATACTAGATGGTTTAAACTAGATAGAGAGACAAAGCTGTCCTTGTGTCTTATTGACTAGGCCCCACTTCTTCTTGCCTGCAATTTTTAAATTTAAACCCTTCCAAGCAATTTTTACTCAAGGCAAAAATCACCATGTCTCCTTCAACCACATGACAGACAAATGAGCTGATTTTTTAATCATCTGGTTCATGCCACTTGGTATACCAGACAATCAACTCTGCATATTTTGAGTTTGCCTTCCATTTTGCTCTCAACAGCTAGTTTTATCCTTCCGCTATAAAAAGGCAACTCTTACACCTTTAAATGGTGATGCAGTCCTAACCTTTCTATAATTTGAATCCACTTTGAGCTAATTCTCTTACACCATTCATTGATTGAATTTTTCACATTTCCTTAAGAATTGGATCATCCTTAACTAAAGACTTGGGCTTTTAACTTAAACATTCTGTTGAGCGTTTGTGAATTTGAGAACTTGTTTTTCTTGAGTGAAAAATTTGTTAAAATGTAACTGGCACTTAAAACCATTGGGGATTTGGTTGACAGATTTCAGAAGAGCTAGAGAATGAGAGGTATAAATCTTTAGCCTTGTAAAAATATTTGGTATTGTAAAAGGGGGTGTCACCCTTGAAGGAGGCTAATTGAGTGATAGTAAAAGCACCAGCTTACTACTTGAGGAGTGGAGGCAGTTCGTGCCAAAATACTATAAATATTCGAGTAACCTCTCTTGCTCTACTCTTTTCATAATTACTTGTTACTTCTGTTGTGATTGAATATTTGGTTGAAATAAGCTAGTTTGTTTTTTGTTGTGATTAATCCAAAAAGATATGAAAACTAGCTTTAGTTTAGAACACCTAATTTATCCCCTAACACCACAAAATATATAGAAATGGAATCTAAACCAGCCACTAACCTGCCACGAGGAAGATATTGTAGGAACAGCCCCTCTGTTAAGAGCATCCAGAAAGGATTTTGTAATACCAGCAAGAATAGGTCCTGTCATAACAGTGCCTCCAACTTGCTTAGGCTTAGTCCTTTCAAAAACAAATTTTGCCAACATATTGAGCCCCGATAGAAATTCTGGCCTAAACTTGTCCAGCTAGACATGAAACATGTTAAGGTATCAGATGATAAAAAAGGATAGGCTCATCAAGTTCTTAATCTTCAGACAGGAATATAAAAATAGATCAAAAAGTTACACTAACCAAAACTCGATCAAGATGTTGCAGGTCAGCTTCATTGTTCAAAGGGCTGACAAGAGTAAAGCACTCTTGATTTGGAAAAAGAGCTCGAATAGACTCACGAATCTGGAATTATTACCCATATAAATCAGCAAATCTGTGGGCATAAAAAACCAACCAATTGCTCAAATGAAATGAAAAAACATCAAAGATGAACATCCTAGAACTAATTAATTCCACAAAGTATGCTTGGTTTCTTTACCATATTGGATTTAGCTTCAAATGAACAAGCAGTTTGGATTTAAAAGGAAAAAGGTATGGAAAATGTATTGGTTCAGCATAAGGGTACAAATAATTTTGAAAAAAAAAGATCCACGAGACCAGTTCTGCAGCATAAATCATTAGGACTTGTAATTATCATTAGCAACTTTTCAGGTTCAATATACTTAATGAGATTGTTGCAACA